AGGGTTCATAGGAGGCCAGCGTACCTGACTAACTATCTCCTGGATGAGGAGGAGGATAAGTCCACTTACCACAAAAGAATCTGATATGTATATAAGTTTTTGTTATAAATGTTTTGTATATGTATTTTGCAGAATGGACTCGCTTTCCGGCGAAGCCCTTTTTTGTTCCGGATTATGAGGATGAGAACCCTAGAATTCCCTGCTCAACTCTTAAAAAGACCAAAGGAAGACCATGTAGTGTGTGTCCTGGTCGGTTTACTCATGCCCGCCGCCTTGTGCTGAGAGCCCATCTACGCTGGTTCGCGTATCCGAGGTCTTCATGCTGGAGATGTAAAAGCCAGTTGGGACAGGAGTACCTTCTCTGTGCTCATATGAATAAGGTCCATGACTCTGAGGCATAGCTAAAGTTTTCAACAATATAGCTTCGTGTACGGGGAAGTCGAGGGAGGACGGAAAGACCGGAGTTGACGCCCGGTTTGAGGAAAGCGGTGTTTTATACCACGTGAAGTGCATTAGCTTCACTCGTCACATTTTTGTTTCATGGGTCATTTGTGGAAACCAATTACGAAAGAACTTTAATTTGTTTTGTCATGGGGGATCATTATGTGTCGTATTTCCAACCCCGCGTTCATCGGGGTTCTGTTTTTGTAGTCCCGGACTTGCTATGTGCTGCAAAGGTAGTGTTTACATGCCGCGTTCGTCATGTTCATAGAAATACATGTATAATACAGTATCTGTATAAGTATATTCACCTCAGTTGATACTTTCTAATATTGGAAACATACAGTTTGATTCCTCTTATCGTCACTATTTTGATCAATGTGCGAACCTATATGTGACATCGAAATAGTGTCAGTTTGAGGTTTGTAAGATTGATAACGTCAGTTCGTCAAACAGCAGAACGTGTCACTGTTGGGAATACGGTCAACTTTAGTTTAAACTTATTAAAGCCAGAAGACAATCATCTCAATGTGGACATTTAACGAATAAATAAAGGGTGGTATGTACATGGCGTCTGTGCCAAGAGCCTACAATGCAGACGTGAATACGTAATAATAAACAGTAGTCTACATTTGTTAGTTTAGGTAATGGGAGACAACTCGAACGGTATTTAAATTGCTAACTAAAAAATGGAGATTTTGAATATTTTAAAAGTAGTTCCATAGAAAAAATAGCATCATACTATTATTAACAGCTGTTTTTTGGTCATATGTAATACTATTAACCAATCACAGAACTTGTAACAAAGCGCAAAATCAAATTTCGAACTTAACATTTACAATAATAGTATCAGAATACATTTGAATTGCAAAGCTACAGCCAGCTTCGGAGACAGCTAATCGGCAATCAGAGGAATCTATAGGAAGTTTCCTATGTTAGTAAAGTATCATTTCCCGTTTTAATTGGATCTTGGAGATCTCAGTGGGAGATTGAGTGATAAAGATATGCATATCGACCAATCACAATTAGCTGTCAGGTCTATAGTGCTGGAATGTAGGAGTTGATTAGACTGCAGAAGTAAGTGGCAATGGGCTCAGTATTGTAGTAGGTTCATCTCAAACTTAGAAGATGAAAAAGATCTACATGTTGTTCAAGACAAGATTTCCTTTCTAATTTTAGAATCAAATTATAAGAGTCGGAAAATGTAGCAATACATTGTTCCATCGATGTTTAAGTCGAAAACCAAATGGACTCCTTAATCAAGTGGCCCAAGGGCCTTGATAGTTCAACTGGATTTTATTTTGCTTTTATCCAACCTGTTTGATACGAAACCTGTTTATCAAAAGGAGTATACGAATCTCATTTAGCTGTTAATACAGACTATGCATTTTCGTGGTTTTTTTTTTGGAAATGCTTAATGTTATACGCCTTATGTTTCTTTTAGAATCTTTGTTGGAAGATTTAAACGTACTTTTTATATGAACTTAGATGGTTATGATAGCAATTTAATCTCTCCTAACACATTTTAACTCTAAACATTAATCTACATCGCAAAATGTCATGAACTTCACCCGGTCTTTTTTAATTGTTGTACAAATTTTAACATATGACCTTGACATTCGGCCACATTAATTAATTTTAACCACCGCGACAGCCCATTATTATAACATGCGACTTCCAAAATATTATTACCCTAGGCTTCTTGGTTGTTCGGATGATGGCCAACACTTTTTACATATTGTCATTTTGGAATTCATCTCGGTAGTTCGTTTTATCAAATTTTATAACTCTTCATCTATATACAACGTATGTTACTGGCCAAATAGCATCACCCTAGATTTTTCCGATATTCAGAAATAGTATTCTAAAGGGTTTTCATACATTTGACAAGTGACATTGAGGGTTGCTCAAGGTAATTCATCTCAAGATAGCATAGCCTCTTTTTCTAGCAAGTTCATTGTCAATTTTCACCACCCTAGGCCTTCTGTCTATTGATATATTGGATATGGGTCAAGGTCATCCATTAGAAAAAAACTGATAGCACTTTATTCTGGGATAATAGTTGCTAAATATAACCAAACTAGGCTTGGTAATTCAGAAGAAATTATTAAATGTTATCAGCACTTTTTATCCCTGTGAACTTGGATATGGTGGAAGTCATTTATATGAACGAAATTGTTAGCCCTTGATTTCAGGATATTATAGGCAAATTCGCATCACCCTCGGCCTTTTTTGTTATTCAGAAGAAGTCGTTTAAAGATTTTGAACACATTTAAACCATTTGACATTGAATATGAATCATAGTTTAGATAAATAAAATATATACAAACTTGATTGCCCGTTATCCCATGTTATTGGCCACATTATTTTTATTGTCAGCCTTTTAACTAAATGTATCTAGAAGGCCGTTTAGAGGTTTTAAAGATATTTGACCCATGTGACCTTGAATATAAGTCAGGATCATTCATTTGAACAAACTTGGTAGCCGTTATCGCAGCATGTTACTGGTGATACATATGTATGATTAACTTGAGGGTTTAGTTTTTCAGAGTAATTGTTTGAAAGATTTTAAGGACAATTTACACCTGTGACCTTGAATAAGTTTTAAGTCATCCATCTGATCAAATTAATGGGCCGCGTTGGCAAAGTGGTTAATGCGTCTGAGATTCTGCTACCACTGGCCCTCCATTACTGGGTCAGGGGTTCGAGGCCTACGTGGGGTAGTCGCTAGGTACTGGCCATAGGTAGGTGTTTTTTCTCCGGGAACTCAGGCTTTCCTCCGCCACCAAAACCTGGGACGTCCTTAAATGACTATAGCTGTTAATAAGACGTAAAACACAAACAACCTAATCCAAACTGATCAAAAATGGTAACCCTTCATCCCGGCAACATATCATCATTCTCGGCATTTGGTTATTCAGAAAAAAGTTGTTTGAAAGGTCTTTTTAAGAAATGTAACCCCTGTGACCTTGAATATGAAACAAGTTCATTGTTTTTAACAAACTTGGTATCCCTTCATACAGGCATTTGAGAAATATCACCATCCTCGGCTTTCTGGTTATTTAAAAGAAGTTTTTTGAAAGTTATTGATGACCATTGACCTCTGTGACCTTGAATTTAGGTCCAGGTCATTCATCTGAACAAAGGTAGTAGTCCTTCATCTCTGCACCACACTGGCCAAATACCAACATCATCGCCTTTAAGTTATTCAGAATAGGTCAGTTAAAGGTTTTAAACATCCCTTTGACTTTGAATATAGGTCAAATCATTTATTTGAATAAACTTGGTAGAGCTACATCCTAGCATGTGACTGGCCGAATATCATCAACCTTGACCTTTTTGGATTTGTAGAAGAAGCTGTTTGAATTTGTTTTAGACAATTTAACCCTGTGACAATGAATATTAGTCAATTTCATTCATTTGAACAAACTTGATAGCCCCACTTCTAAGCTTCTGCTGGCCAAATATCACCAACCTGGGCATCTGGTTATTAAGAAGACGATTTTTTCAAAATGATTTGAACCTATTAGACCCCTGTGAATTTGGATATTGATCAAGGTCATTCATTTGAACAGTTTAAAAGCCATTTATTCCAGCTTGCTGCTGGCCAAAAATCAACACTCTAGTCCCTTTGGTTATCAAAAAGATTCGTTCACTTTGAAGAAAATGTTGACGACTGACGGACAGAAGACGGACGACGCACCCCATCATCATAAGCTCACTTTGGCCATAGGGCCAGGTAAACTTATAATGTAAAAAGTATGTAAGTCAATACAACCGTAGTTAGAACAAATTATCGATAAAACAAGTCAAAATGAATGAACAAAGGAAAAAGTAACCTAGCGACCATCAAATCAACTCAAAGCGAATTAGTCAAGGAGCGTCTTTTGCATTAACCACGATATACGTCATGTAAATGTATGACAAATCTGACTAATATCACGTTCACAAAACCGGAACTGCCGTGGTGATATGAAAGCACAAGAACACTGATGAACACAATCAAAGACGTCACACTTCATTTAAGTCAAAGGAACACATTTCCTGGTGAGTAGCCGGTGGCGACCATAAAACTTGTCAATATTCTTTGTCAAACTACATCTCTGGAAACCTTACGGTATCAGTTTGACCGTCCGTGTTATATAACGGAATCAAGGTAGGTTTTCACATGCCGATGGTGATTCGGTATCAGAGCTTGCTCCAAATATCATGGTTTCCATGAGAAATGTCGACTGCTGACAGACAGTCATACTGAACAGGGTTTCCACAGATATAGGATGATGAAGACTATGCTTTGTGGTCGCAATCGTGATCGTTATGGCAAATGTGTTATTCCTTTTGTTGTTTGAAGGTCAATATTGTTTATGCTCATTAGCGTGATTTGTTTCATTGTTTATATCTCGAATTATGCTTTGATGCAAACGACGCTTACCCTTTCTGGAAACTTGGTCGTACTCTTACTGTGGTTTTTCAATGGTCGTCATGATAATGCTTTTAATTGTTTTGTCTGATTAAGTTTGAGTATGTTGCCCTAACCATCAGACTTTATCTATACTTACCGTTGTTGAGCAGTAATTCACGCACCCTCTGTTACCCTGTATCTGCAGATAGTCTACCGGATAGCTCCTTGGATTGGCACAGGATGTAGGATTCATACGTGACTTTTTAAATCCCTCTAGCAGTTCATCTTCCGTAAATACGCACACAGCACTAGGAGTATTTTTAGTTACATCAGCAGTTGATGAGAAAAGTGCAACTAGCACCTCACTACTCCCATGCTGAATTACGAATCCATCCTGGACATATGGAAACCCAGAACACTCAATCGGCATGTCTTCATAGCTGTTGGCACCAGATGTGCCGAAGGCCATTGCACACATTTTGGCAACTTTGGACACAGTTCTACGTGTAGTTCGGTCCATTATTCTTAAAAGAGAATATATAGAGTCTGACATATAAAACATGTCTTTTATAACAAATCCATACTTTTGTTCTGCATGATTGTTCACAGTTTTGATACTAAATGTAGTTTGTACACCTGTGCTAGTTTCATATGGTTCCAGTAAATTGTTTTCTTGTAGTTGTCCTCCATAAATGATATCTCTCACTTGTGTGTAGATGTTTTCAAGTTTTTCTGTCGTTTTAACATACGATTTCCCCACAAAGAGAAGCGATTCCGTACCAACCTTTGCTATTACACTTTCAGTAGAACCTGTCTCATCTGCACTAACAGCAAGATAGGAAATGCTTGTTATGTTTACAATAGAAATATCCCTTAAATTTCTACCAACACATCTCCCAAGATACAGGGTACCACACGTTACAAGGATACCACCTGGTTCATACACCTGTAACAGCTGAGTGAAGTCGTCGTACAGCTGAATGTTACATCCACTTCTCTCACTGTCCACGTCCACTTTTGTACATTCCTTAGAATCTCTCCGTGGGCCTGTTTCCACCACTCCTACCTGTGTTAAGTCCTCGTCCAGGTGATAGATAAAGTTTTTACCACCAATATATATGTTCCTGCCTGAAGAGTCTACAGCTATTTTTCGAAATTCTGGGAGTCTTTCCGTCAATGGTCTAAACTCCTTAGCGTCACTAGCAAAACCATTATGATGTTTTATAGCTAGCCCAAACAGAATAACCGAGAGTGATAAAACATTCATATTATTTTCGTGGTTGGATATCAATGTCAGTGTAACTCATTCCACGTGATAGTCTATAGAAGCCGTTGTCTTGTACACTTAATATATGTCTAAATATACACCAGGCTCATCTGTTCCTTCGGAATATTTCTTCTATCCCTGGAGAACGACCCAGCCACAGCAACAAATCATATATAAAGCAACGCTAGTCAAATAAAACAAATTTGTAATAAACCACACCTCTTATTTTGTTTTCAGTAAAGATTTTTTTTTTCATTTTTCAGGAAGACATATTCTAAAATCTTGCAAACCTAAGAAAAGTAGTGTGATTTTATATCCTTAACAGAATGTGATCCTTGTGTAAACGTGTCCCAACTCTCAAAAGAAATTTTTAAGGTATAGGTGTCAAAAATTAACATAACATTTACAAAGTGTTTCAAATGGTTCTTTCATATCATGCTTAATCATTGGTAGCGTCATTTCATTTTGTACATATATAACAGTTGCCAAATATGATGTTATCTTGTATTCAGTTGTTTGGGATTTAAAGAAAATTGTATCACTAAAGAAATATATACAAACAATTACACTATTTAAAACGCAATAGAACTTAAGCAAAGAAGCACACTTTCATCGTGTTTAACAGAACTACACGGAAATATTCACATACTTTTCCATTATTGACAAAATACAGTCACTAATTCCACGAGGTTTTATCTTTTGAGTAATTATTAACACATTTTTGAAAATCTGACCTCGCTAACGCTTCATAGAACTATAAGAGAGCTTATTGTGAAGATCACAACGTTCACTGTATTGTTACACTGTAAATACGTGTGTGCCCTAACTTCGATTTCACACAACATTTTAAATGTTTGTTCTTAACTTAAACTTCCTGTTTATGAAAGCAGTGCATATACACCTGAATAACGCCCACTGGCTCGACCCTGAAGAATATAAACTTACCACATATTTGTTCAAACTTCTGCACCTTACTGACAATTATCTATACGTACACTGTATACGAAAGATCACTTTCTGGAATAAAATATGCTGGACCAAGACTCTACCAAACTATTCCGTGGACTGTCCTACACTATTATATCTGTCTTTATTTAGCTTGCCTACATTGTAGTGCAGTCACATACACAAACAGTGGTATCGTATAACCTGTTTGGTTCAAGGTGACATTTCAAATTGTTGAAGCGAGACATGACAGAGATCTGACGAAATGTACTTCCTGGATGGTGTGTCATATTACTTGTGGGGCTTCACCCGTTTAATGTTCGCCCTTCACGTGTAACATTCTACATTATATAGCAATTATTTTTAACTTTCTCTGCATCAAACTCACAAGTGAGCTCAGAGCTCAAACAGCACGTGTCTGCAAGATCAGCATATTACGTTTAAGAGAGTGTATCGAAAACGGGGTTCCCATTTTTTTAATTTATGACAGTATTTAATCTCCGTTGTAAAATTTCGGTAACTCACAACACTCCTTATTTCAAATGAAAACAGTTAACACTTATGTCTGCGCGTACATTCTAAAAAATTATCCTTTACATGATTAGCAGTAGATTTTATCATGAGTGACCTTGTGTTGTATATATATGTACTATTTGATTGGTTTTGTATTTTATATATAGGTGTTATTGGAATAGAATTGTATACTATATAGGTGTTATATGATCGTGACTGGCCCTGTATTTTAAATAAAGATGTACAGAGTTATGTGAGTTACAAGGTATTTTATAGATACATGATATTTTAGTGGATCAGAACTGTCAATATTGGTGATATTCCAGGGTCACTTTTGTATTTAAAGGTGTTGCATCAGTGGTTCTCTGTTTTAATTTAGGTTGATATGAGTGTCAGTTCATTATATTGTTCACCCGTTTATTTTAGTGAAACATGTCAGTATCGTACGAGCTGTTTTTTGGATTCCATAAATATTCAGCCTTTTGTATTACGTCTTACCCGACTTCCTGAACAGATGAATATCAGAATACTCATGACAATATCTACCTGTGTAACAGGAGCGCGACGGGCCCAGTTTGTTGAAGAGAAACTACACCCGGCTCCTTACACCGACCACTACCCAGGTATGATTGGCGTATTTGTTCTGTCAATGATGGAGGTAAAACCCAACTCAGAATGACAACGTCAATTACAGTAGATATAAGATATTAACAACAATCAAATAGTGATATAGACCTGTGCACATATGAAACACTTAACTTCTATCTTTTGAAACGACCCCACTTTACATGCCTAGCTGTTTCGAAATGATACATCTTATAATCCAATCCCATTTCTTTCTACCTCACTCCCAAAGTAAACATGTTAAATCCCTAACATGACCTATGGCAGTCGTACCAGTATCTCAATTTAGACTTTATACATAACCTAACAACAGACCCGTCGAAACAAAGCACACACACAGACGGGGACAGAAAAGTATGACATTTTAGACAGGTACAACGACAACACTCAGCACAAGACTAGAAAACGTGGACACAACACAACAATAGGACATATGACTCTAGTACACTAAGGCATATTTCCTTCAACATAAACTGTGCACTTCCTTTCCCCTAGCTGTAACCATAATACACGAACTGCATACCCACTAACAACCCCCCCCCCCTCACCCACACCCACACACATACACCTGCTTCACCTACATATTGACGATTGGTAACAATACGACTAACGCATATACCCTTTTAAACAACTAATACAATATCGTTTATGAAAACATTGCAAATATATTACACATTCAAATACAAACAAATGTTTATGACATGTGTAGTCTAGTGTTATACTTTATGCTACGGGCACATGTGTTGGTTATATAAAGTGTATGTGGGCGTGTTCGTAGTTGTTTGTGTACTTGACCCCACTGCACGAACATTTCACTTGCCGCTATTTTAAGGTCCCGGGGCCTAGGCCGAGGATATGCATTTTTTAACTGAAGTCGTGCAATAGACGTCAGTACCGTACATGTATACTAATGTACTACACAAAGCATTGAAGCTGCGTACTACGTGTATATAAGTTTGGACACAGCCGTTCCCGGTATGTATATTACTGATTACGGATTACTATATTTGTATGTTAAACATAACGCTGTCGTTCCGTTCCGTTTATATATTCCGATGAGAGTTGTTTGAATGTATTCATGTTTTACATTTTAGGTATTGCAGGTTTTTATTTGTCGACGTGTCAGTGGATAAACGAAAGATCACAAAATCCTGGAGTTCGGGTTGATGACCATCCCAAGACCCAGGGCTAAACATGTTATCTATGGTGAGTGTAAATATTACCCGAAAAAAAAAACATCTTCCGTTTAACATGAAAACATCACGCTGACGGAATACGGTAATAACTGCATTATGAATGAGAAGGGAGCGTTACGTCGCTATCGAGATGTTGTAACGACAAACACTTAAGATCATGGAAGTTTAAATGTTAGTATTGGCTCATTTACTCCAATATGGAGAGTGAATGTCCTCATGAACTCGATGCACCCTGAAGGACAAACCCCATCGGATTTGGAACGCAGACGAAACTGGGAAGTAGTTCGAGAATGTCCTTAGTGATGTATGTACCAAAACGGAAACAAGGGTCTTGCAAAGTAGGACATGTAATTCCTGACAAAATGTCTCAATTGTGGCTTGCATCAATACTTGTGGAAAAGCGATGCCTCCATTATGTTGCTAAAGGAAAAAATGTGTATAGTTTTTTAATACTGCGGATGCCCCTGAAAGTAATTTATGGACATATCAAAATAAAGCTTGGATGTGCGATATTCTTAGGGAGATAATGTTTAACAAGATCATTCGCTAACAATGTAGCCCTGGAACTCGCACAGTTCACATGCTATTCTATCGCTGTAAGAAAAAGCAGAAGAGGAAAACATCGACAATATGGCATTAGCTCCCAATCGTACACATATATTACAACCACTTGATAGAATCGTATTCGGTTCATTCAGCAAAGCGTTCAATCATTGCTCGGAGTTTATGCCTGCAAATCCAAACCATGGCCTCGAATTTTTAATTGAGCATGGTCGGAAGCAATGACGACCGCCCATATAACAAAATGCTTTCAAATTGTGGTTTGTATCCAGTGGATTGTTCCCTCACCCTAAAAACATTTTTTCTTCCGTCGTAAGTGTTAGACACGCCACTATTTTCTGTCTCTGATCACGATTATCATGTTCCTCTCTACTCTGACACGTTGTTGGATATACTTGACACTAATAATAACGGGATTTTTCCCCCAGTAATTCGAAATGCTCGCTACTCATGTAACCCTTGTCACAACGGCATCACCGGAAGTGTAATCATCAACGATGTCTTCTAGTTCATCAGAAACTCCATCACCAGTACTAGTGAGTGAAACAATGCAAGTGAAATTTCTCGGGCTTTGAAAGGAAGAACCTCTGGACAAGTGTAGATTATTCTGTTTTACCGGCCTGTGAATATACTGTGTTCATTTGATGTACCATACAAACAATAGCCCTTATAGGTACATGTTTTGGTGTAAGCCGAATTCTTGTGTCGGAGTCACATAGAATAGTATTATGTTACAAAGTCACATATAGAATAGCATTATGTTACAAAGTCACATATATAATAGCATTATGTAACAAAGTCACATATATAATAGTATTATATTACGAAGTCACATATAAAATAGCATTATGTTACAAAGTCACATATAGAAAAGTATTATGTTACAAAGTCACATATAAAATAATATTATGTTACAAAGTCACATATAGAATAGCATTATGTTACAAAGTCACATATATAATAGTATTATGTTACAAAGTCACATATAAAATAGCATTATGTTACAAAGTCACATATAGAAAAGTATTATGTTACAAAGTCACATATCAAATAATATTATGTTACAAAGTCACATATGAAATAGCATTATGTTACAAAGTCACATATATAATAGCATTATGTTACAAAATCACACATGTATAGAATAGTGTTATGTTACAAAGTCACATATAAAATAGTGTTATGTTACAAAGTCACATATAGAATAGTGTTATGTTACAAAGTCACATATAGAATAGTATTATGTTACAAAGTCACATATGAAATAGCATTATGTTACAAAGTCACATATATAATAGTATTATGTTACAAAGTCGCATATAGAATAGTGTTATGTTACAAAGCCACATATAGAATAGTATTATGTTACAAAGTCACATAGAATAGCATTATGTTACAAAGTCGCATATAAAATAGCATTATGTTACAAAGTCACATATAAAAGAGTGTTATGTTACAAAGTCACATATAGAATAGCCTTATGTTACAAAGTCACATATATAATAGCATTATGTTACAAAATCACACATGTATAGAATAGTGTTATGTTACAAAGTCACATATAGAATAGCATTATGTTACAAAGTCACATATAGAATAGCATTACGTCTGTCAATCATAGCGATAAATACAACTCTGGTGTCACATAAACATACACTGACACAACACATCCTTTTTGGTCTTGTGTTAAGTTAAATGTATTAGTCATGCTAATGAAAATATTGGTTGTCCACAGTCACGCTTTCAAAGCAATACACATGTGCTTGCGAATTCAAAGTAACAGTACTGTTTGTATATTTCAATGAAGTGTATTTGTTGTGGGATCGAAATTTCAAGTTTCGATATCCCAAGCAACTGCTGGGTCCGGAAATGATGCTATTTGTGGTTGTAGTATTATGTGGTAAGATATGGTATCCCTGTTAATGGCATTTGCAAATAGCAACTGTTCCTGTACAGGAACAGAGCGGAAGGGAAAATCTAAATCTGTCGTACACGTTATACCACGACATTGAAACATGTTTAAACTACTTTTGCATGACAAAAAAGCCGTCGCGAGTTATCGATTATCTACAAGCAATGAAATCATAAAAGAAAAACTGCTTGCAAATAATCTAAAAGAAGAAAAAAAAGAAATGAGACACCAACAGCGAAATCAGAATAAAAAGTCAAAGGAACAGGAGAAAACGACCAAGAAACGCTGTATGGCTAATCATCCACATTATTTTAACGAGGTACTGGTCTCTATAACCGATTATAAAAAACCAGTTAAGTATGGCTAGTCATCCATATTATTTTAACGAGGTTCTGGTCTCTATAACCGATTATAAAAATCAGTTAAGTATGGCTAATCATCCACAGAATTGTAACGAGGTTCTGGTCTCTATAACCGATTATGAAAATCAGTTAAGTATGGCTAATCATCCATATTATTTTAACGAGGTTCTGGTCTCTATAGCCGATTATAATACCTGTTTCTCATGTTTTATTCTTATTTTTGTCATTCGTCAAATTTAAAAAGATACATTAAATGTGTATAACGAACGACCACCAAGGTAGAGAACTTATATAGGCCTTAAGCCTGTCGTCCAGTCATTGTACCAGTCGTTCATTGTCAATAATATTTACTTGAATTAACACTATATTAGCGACACTGTATTGTTTACAATCTGTATTTTAAATAGAATATGTCACAAGGTTCCCTTTATCTTACATTGTAGATTTATCATACGACGATCACAAAAAAACCCTCACCTTCACTCGAATTATCAATCTAACATGAAGGAAAACACATGACAGATTATTTTTATCATATGACTATTAACCGTTCTCTAAATAATGTAATTGAAGAAAATTTCATTAAAATGGATTGAAATGGGGACTATAATTATAACTGTTGTTGCCCGTGGAAACAAAGGTGCGGCGATTCCTGTCCACGGGACCAGTTGCAGCACGGACGGTTCATTTTACAAGCATTGTTCGTCTGGCTATCACTGTTGTGGAAGACGGTACAGCAGGTACTGTTGTATAGACGATGGCTTCTACTACGGGAGCATGTAAGTACCATATAATTGTGTTGTCATTATAAGTACACGTACAGTAACTGTCACAGCGACACATTCGAGTATGTTAAGGCGATCTCAAGTAATAAACAATATGATAAAAAAGCTACCATAGCACGTTTAACGTCTGTATTACCCACAGTGTTAGCATGGGGATTACCGTCCCCGTAATAGACAGGTCAGGTTGTAGACAAGCGTGACTGTTGTGACCATGCACAGTGCTGCGATAGTGGTGTCGATGACGACGCATTCGTAACATATCCCATAAGCGGAACTCTTGTTCATATATAATTTTATATTATAAGAAATATTTCAAATATGTGATATGATAAACCCTTCAGGCTTGCAAAACGAACGATGCAGAACTACCGTTATGTTAAGGGTTTCTATATAATACTATCATGTAACAAATAGTCCATGCTTGGTTTGGTATTGTAGGGATGGCGGCACCGTCGCAGGTACGGTGGTCGGGTGTATAGTGGGTATGGGCTTGTTCATAGCCATGGTCGTATGTCTGTGTGCTGCATGTAACAAGAGTGGAACAAGAGGTGCACGGATTACAACTCGGCACAACCCACGGTGGCTATAGTGAATACAAGCAACATGGAAGGTATAACCTTATCACGTGTCACGATTGTTTTCTCCTACCCGTCACTAGTCACGTACTTTGTAGCATTCGGAACCCACTCCTACTTCGATACGTGCATGGTATCTTCTACATTAATCGCAGTCTGGCAATGTTGGTTTGTATCCCCGTCACGTGACTGTTTGATTACGATACATCAAATAGCTTTAGTCAGAATGCATGTCGTCTTTCTAAATTTATTATTTATACCGAAAACTTGTTTCTATGGTCGGTCACTAGATTCATTAACATTCCACTTCATGTTAAACGTGTTTATGCAATGTATACTGTTAGGTATAGCAATCGTAATAACTGTATACGTTACTGATGATCTATTTTCTATAACAATTATATAATGATGTAGTTTTATTTTACATTTTAGACGTTATAATAGATAGTTTTGTACTCACTATATTTGAGTTAGCAATGCCTCTATTATGTTCCTTCTTTCAGGGTACATGTCGTCTAGCTTCCAAACCAACTCAGGAGCAGCATATCCCCAACAAGGATCTGCCCAAACTTCGACTACCTTGGCGTTCTCTGGTCAATTTGTACAGCCTCCACCTTATTCTGTCAAATAGAGGTACAACTGTACATGAAACAGGATAGCGCTGAAACGTCAATGTGTGATATACAAACAGAACTATTATTTATATTTTAGAAGATAATTTTCCATTCTGTGATTTAATGCACAGGCATATCCTAACTGATCAAATGTTTTCAGCTGTTCTGTCTCTGCGTTTTCAGTGAAACAGTAATGTGTCATTACAACGTCTTTGTATAGCATTACTATTAAAGTGTTATTGTCCGAATGCATAATGTATTTTTTGGTGTTTTCACTTACATGTACACAGGGTAGATGCATTTCTCGTCGTTCTATAGAAATAGCATACACATGTTCCATACTAGTGCCTACATTAATAACCACAAATATTCAATACCAAACATTCTATATACACAATATATATCCAGCACACATGCAGGCATACACACATGAGGAGATATTAGCCAGGTGACATAGAACTTGTCCTTAGCGCCCGATAATGCAGCTCCTACAAATTCCTCGAAATTAATGTAATTAATGTATTATTTAATATATTGATTAATATTAATTGTATTAATTGTGCATCTATGTACTGTAAAGCGCGTTAAGTGGTCATATTCTAGCTAGATAGGGCGCTAAATCAAATAGTGTACATGTATATTCATTTATTTATTATTTAATACAGTAGCCCATATCTGGTTTAATGTCCGATACACATGTGAACTTTCCACTTTCCGAAACACTGAACTATGGGTACAGTTGTGGGACCGCACAACGCACCAAAAATAGCGTGTGTATAAATATATAAATAGATGTCACCGTTAGTCTGTCAAGAATGGATCTAGCTCCCAGGTAACAGAACAGGTAAATAACACTTTTATGATTGACTGGATTATCACTTGGCATGTGCCTTACAAAGAGAGCTGATATGTGATACCGTATGACCGTTAGGAAAACCTTCGGTATTTGTTATTTGCATTCGTTTGGGTCTATATCATCCCTTCCCCTGGATTTTCACACCTTGACGAGTTACGTAAACGCACCGGGTTGGTTTAAACTACGGTCCATGTACAGGTACAAAGTGGCTATGTTTACCTGTATACGTGACCGTGTCAATAAATGTTATTTGGGTCGTTCAAAAAACACCGAAAACATCCTTTCTGATTTAACAAAACATACATAGAACGATCAGCTGATATATGTAGCTAGAATATAGAAATATACCTAAGAAGCAAGTTTATGTGTTTAAACACGAGGACGCGTTTATTGTTAAGCCATTTCTCAATTTACACCGACCAGGATTGTCATC